TGTCACCACCATATTGTTCTGAACACCAAAACTGCAACATTGCCAGCCAAGATGGTGAATGGTTTACTATGCACTTCTCAAAATCATTAAATGACTGGTAGTTGTGATATAACAATATTTTTACAACAGTGCGCCGTTCGGCTAAAACCTGCATTTACTAGCCTTATGCCATGCACTGTATTCTGGAATTTTGACAACTTTGTTTTTGTTCGATGCAAAATAAAAATCTTTTCCCATGTTGTGCAATATGTAAATGTACAAAAGTCATACATGTTAGTCTTCGAGACACTAAAAATGTTGAAAGCCAATACATGACATTTACTAACAGTTTGGTCGTGATATGGTATGGTATATTTCACTTTTAACATCTGAACAATGATAATGACGATTGTACATCGGTGAGTTATACTTGCACTTTTCATATGCAGATTAGCTCATTATTATTCATAATTATGCAAATCAGCAACCTACATTTTATAACCATGCTTGTTTGAGGTGTTTTGAAGAAACGCCACCGAGTACAACGTCACATGACACAATTAAGACAATGAAGTATAGCACCAAGATATCAAGATGAAAGAGTTACAATGAATTAGATGGTTAAAGCGTGGTGGTCGTCGAGCAGCGCATGTTCGAATTTAATGTAAATAAACAATGTATTTTACACACGTTGTGTACGTCGCTATGAGTCCCATATCGAACAGGACGCGGCGTGACGACTGCCGCCCTTTAAAATAGGCACAGTTTAAGTGGATATCTTCAATCAGAGAGGTGTACAGTAAAAAACTTTATTTTAGCAGGAATTAATTTTTGCTGAAAAGAAATTTTGGGTGTTTTGTATGGAATTTATTGTCACTGATTTTTGACGAGTTGAATGTAAAATATAGGAAAAAGTTATATTCGCTGGATTTAATTTTCACTGAATCATTCCTTCAGCGAAAATTATTTCCAAGCGAAAATAAAGTAATCTACATTATATCAAAAGAGATGCTTACAATAATGTAAATGATTATGAGTAAAAGCCTGTACACTGGTCGCATACACTAAATACCCTTACTCAATTGAGATTCTCAAGTCAATAATTTTTAGTTCTAAAAACTAATCTTTAGATTTTAGGAATCAAACACAATTTCTAAAGAAGCATGCATGTGTGTCATTAAATTGCTTTGATGTGTCCATTCAAGATTACCAAACCACACATAGCTATGTTCATACTTGCATATACCCATCCCAGATTAACAAGATCACACAGTTCTGCTGACTTCATCTCAGGTTACAAGACCACACATAGCTATGTTCACACTTGCATGTATCCATCCCAGATTAACAAGATCACACAGTTCTGCTGACTTCATCTCAGGTTACAAGACCACACATAGCCATGTTCACACCTGCATATACCCATCCCTGATTAACAAGATCACACAGTTCTGCTGACTTCATCTCAGGTTACAAGACCACACACAGCTATGTTCATACTTGCATGTATCCATCCCAGATTAACAAGATCACACAGTTGTGCTGACTTCATCTCAGTTACAAGACCACACATAGCTATGTTCACACTTGCATGTATCCATCTCAGATTAACAAGATCACACAGTTGTGCTGACTTCATCTCAGTTACAAGACCACACATAGCTATGTTCACACTTGCATGTATCCATCCCAGATTAACAAGATCACACAGTTCTGCTAACTTCATCT